TGTTTGTAAAATTGTTTTTCGTTTAAAATAAATTGCTCAACTAAGAAAAGAACTACCAAAGAGAAACACCTTTAAATGGGGAGTATTYTGCAAAATKAACTTTTTTYAGCTTTATATCATGTTATAAMGTCATTTCCTCATCAAAATCATACCCAGAGGGTTGCTTTGACTCATTCATMWATGTTTGAGAAATCCTTGAATCTCCTGTGCTGGTACAAAGCCCCGCCTACTTACACAAAGCACCGCCCTGGAGCTCAGTCTGCAGCCGAGCTCCCGCCCCACAGAGCATCCCTCCCCCCAATGCATTGTTGTGAAGACATGCTGAAGTGGGAGTGTCTGAAATGGTAGGAAGTTCATAAAATGACAAAGGTCAGTTTCAAGGCGTTTAGGCAATGTAACATCAAATTCATTTTTGATATAGACAGCATTTTCATAACAACTGAAGGTAACATACTTGATTGTGGTATAGAATTGAACTACAGTATGTGCCTGYGAAGTACATAATACCCTCCATACACACACAAGTACTACTCGTACTTACCAGTAATTTCAGAAAGTAAGAAATAAAATCTGCAGATTCCTTTATTTCCTTCAACATTTAATGAAAAATCCGTACAATTTATATGTATGTTAGCAGAGTAAGGTGTTTTGTTTACATTGATTACTTACCCACATTTCACCTTTGCATATAAATATAGCTGGAAAACTGAAGTAAGCTATTTTAAACTGCACCATTTAGGATTTAAAACATCTAAAAAGGATTTTTGGCAAATTGGAAATACAAAGCCCATTTTTGATTAGTCACTATAATTTGCTACTTGTTTAATGTGGTTCAAAATTTGAGATCATTAGTTGTTGTTGCAGCATGTAGATTAATTTATTTTTATTTTTTGCTCTATAATTACAAGAAGTTGAATAATMACTTTTCTGTCAGCAGGTACACAGTATATCATTTTAGTTTTATTCAGGCCATTTGGGCGCTTCATATGTGCAGTTCACTTATATACCGGTAATTTCCGTATTTAATTGGTTATATTTAAAACTAAAATTATGTTTGCAAAAATTATGTTTGCTACCAACAAGACAATGAGAGAAATAGTGTTGCATTTTGCCAAGCACATTATCAACACTCTTGATATGCTTCTGATGTTGATTTTTTTTTTTTTTTTTTTTGTAATTCAGTCAGAAAATATTTTTATTTGCTGGTTTTAGCGCATATATACTTTATCATATGAAGTAATTAACGCTTGTTAATGTTTATATTATATGTTCATCTGTGTTCTTGAAATATTAAAAGTCCGAACAAAGTTCAAACAGCAGCAGATAAATATGGCCCACATCAAAAAGAATCCAATCAAACCAGTATCATGATAGCAACTTCACACAGACTCTTGATTGGATCAGGTCTGTTTATTCTCTGGTACAAAGCTGACTTTTACAGACTTTGGTGCCATGCTGGGCTTAATTAACTTGGAGTGTTTGCTGTGAGACAACTGGCTTCATTTTGCCTTTGATGAATGATTGATGCMCCGCAAAGAGTGAGGAAGCAAACAGAGCAAGCACAAACAGAGGATTAATGCAGGGGAAATTGTCGAGRAAACATGCCGAGACATGCATCTTGGAGAGTGGTGCAGTCTGGTGTCATCAYTGTGAATACCTGGACTGAGAAATATGTTCTCTGGAAAACATTTAGGAACAACACAACTGAACAAAGCAATCAAACAGGCTGGTAAATATTCAGTTCCTATTAGCTGCTTTTATCTGCACACTGAGTTTTACCCTACTTAACGTGAAATATCAAATTATCTTCAAAACAACATTCCCAGATGATGTCATAAGTCACACAAAGACTAAACATGTGATAAGAAACGTCTCATGTTTTCATCCCACTGTAAAGCCCTTTGAATTGCATTGYATTTGTATGAAAGGTGCTATAGAAATGAAGTTTGATTGACTGAAGGAACAAAGATTTAAAAATGTTGCAGTTTTGCTTTAAAGAAGATAAACAGGTTTGCATTATTGATCTAATTATGAGGAATGCAACCCACTAAAGCACTGTCTGTAGTCAAGACATGCAGGTATGATAAAGCAAAACACATAGTCAATATAAGAAAGGCAGATGAACCGGTTCTGCAGGTCAGTCCACGTCACATGTCAATGAAACTGAACCGGCTCACCTGTCAGCTGGTTAACCAGAACACATTTACCTTTGTCTACGCACAAAACTAATTTAAAACCACATTGAAGCCTGGAAACTTGCTTCATAATAATTGCATTGTGCTTTGGGTCTTATTTAAATAGTTTACCTCATCATGAAATAATGATGGCAAAGGTTGTATTTGCTCTTGTCTTTTATAACGGGACACAAAGAGTCACCTGAGCCACAAAAAGGTGTTACCAGTCTAATCTTGCCCTGAACCCATTTGCTGGCAATGACTCTTAACTGACAACTCGTGAACATGAAGACATTATCATATTGTCAAATACACACACACACACACACACACACACACACACACACACACA